CCTGTGTACAATCAGTTTTAAAACAGACATTGAGGTAAAACTGTTACAGTGCTACAAGTAAAAACACTGTCTCGAAAAATGATTTTATCTGCAAATATATACTCTTACTTACTAATATATACATTTACGGTAAAATAAATAATCATAAAAAAACATCAGACTTTAGAAATCCATAAAAACACAAAAACTAATTTGTACAAAACTTTGGATTTAAAGACCATAACAAAACGTTTAGAACATCAGCAAATTGTTTACACAGACAGAGAGACAGACAGACAAACAAAACATGAAATGAAATATAAATGCAGAAAAGCACATATTGTATCGACAATGGTTGCTCAGTAGTTTATCATAGTCAAAAAGTAATATAATGTGAAACATGATAGGGTCATTCTGGGGCTGGTCTTTCATTTATACAGTATATTGGCAGTCAATGTATGAGGAATGTATTTTAAGTCTATGGAAGTCTATGGAAGGTGGACATGGTGAGCGCTTCACATGCCTGAGACAGAAAATATATAGTTTACTATTTCATTAACAATCAACCTTAACTATTTCTCAAGAGCTTCTGGAACCAGCAAAACTATTGCTGAAGTTCTTTGCTCCTTATGGTATTCATAACTTTTGATTCAAGGTTCAGTAGTGTCATTTTTGTTCTACAAAAGGTATGAATATTATTTTGCATTTGATCTCACATAATATAGGTGTACTGATATACATATTTGTCCAAGCAATCAGTAGTTCATCTAAGCTAATGCTCTACATAATTGTGAATCCACAGTTGGACCAGTCAATACATGATTCCCCAACCAAAACAAAGAATAGTAAACAATACTTATCAAAATATGTCTATTTGGTTAATGTACATACATGTCTATGCTGTCTATATGCAAAATGAATTAGTAGAAAACTTCACATTGTTGTTCAAACTAAATCTAAACTCTTTCTTTCATAGAAAGAATAATAACATACATACACATACAGTTCCTTCGGAAAGAATTCACACCCCTTGACTTTTTCCACATTTTGTTGTGTTACAGCCTGAATTAAAAATGTATTAAATAGAGATTTTATTTGTCACTGGCCTACACGCAATACCACATTATGTCAAAGTGGAATAAAGTTTTCCAAAACTTTTACCAATTCATTAAAAATGAAAAGCTGAAATGTATTGTGCCAATGAGTGTTCAACCCCTTAGTGAAGCATGGTGAAGTTATTAATTACACTTTGGATGGTGTATCAATACACCCAGTTACTACAAAGATACAGGCGTCCTTCCTAACTCAGTTGCCGGAGAGGAAAGAAACCACTCAGGAATTTCACCATGAGGCCAGTGGTGACTTTAAAAACAGTTACAGAGTTTAATGGCTGTGATAGGAGAAAACTGAGGATGGATCAACAACATTGTAGTTACTCCACAATGCTAACCTAATTGACAAAGTGAAAAGAAGGATGCCTGTACAGAATAAAAATATTACAAAACATGCGTCCTGTTTGCAACAAGGCACTAAAGTAAAACTGCAAAAAATAGGCAACGCAATTCACTTTTTGTCCTGAATACAAAGTGTTATGTTTGGGGCAAATCCAACACAACACATTACTGAGTACCACTCTTCATATTTTCAAGCATAGTTGTTGCTAAAAAGCCACAGTAATCCTTACAAAAAGTAGCTGTTTGATGTTTCACCGTAACATTTTGGAATGTTCATTAAAATCGTTCAACTGAAATTGTTACTCTGGCACATGTTCCCTGCAAACAGAAGCCTTGTTGAACTCGCCTTTGATTCAGTCTGCTTTCCAACAGACACTGGGAGATTAATTCACCTTTCAGTAGGACAATAACCTAAAACACAAGGCCAAATCTACATTGGAGTTGCTTACCAATAAATGTCCCTCAGTGGACGAGTTACAGTTTTGACTTAAATCTGCTTGTAAATCTATGCCAACACTTGAAAATGTTTGTTTCTAGCAATGATCAACATTCAATTTGACAGAGCTTGAAGAATTATGAAAAACATAATGGGCAAATATTGTACAATCCAGCTCTTAGAGACATACCCAGAAAGACTCACAGCTGTAATCGCTGCCAACGGTGATTCTAACATGTATTGACTCAGGGGTGTGAATACTTATGGAAATGAGATATTGCTGTATTTCATTTTCAATAAATTTGCTAAATTTTTAAAATATATTTTTTACTTTGTCATTATGGGGTATTGTGTGTAGATGGGTGAGAAAAAAAATATTTAATCAATTTTGAATTCAGGCTGTAACACAACAAAATGTGGAATAAGTCAAGAGGTATGAATACTTTCTGAAGGCACTGTACATACATACATACATGTCTATAATTAGCAGCATACAAAGGGGAAAGTCTTGATAGTTTCAGTGATGCTGCTGTTTGTAAGGTTGGAGGAGAACGAATAAGCCAGGAATCAGAATCAGATACACAGGTTTTGGTCATTGTTTTACAGCAACTGCAGCTGGGATACCACTTGCCATCAGATTGCTGTTCATGACATACAAAGTATACTCTGAGGAGCATTTCAGATTGCAGTAAGTAATAGCTTACAGATAGGAAACAGTAAAATAGCATACGTGCATTCATGGGCATAACGAAAACAGAGTTATTCTAGTGGGCAAGTCCCTTTCACAAACTCATTCTCAAACACTAAATAGCATGGGTTTGTCTGCACCGGGTCACGTAGTGATACACACGCTGTGTTTCGGTGAACGTTACTAACACTGATAAAAAGGAGGAGAATAAGCTTCATACTCTTCAACTAGACACAAGTGCTGAACTTTCAAACTCACTTTAGACTGACCACCTCATGCTCCTCCAGCTGAAAGTAATTTGTCTTTGGGCTAAACTTTGTTTTATCATCGGTCGTACTGTGGCCAAACCTCTTGGCAACTTTCTTCAAAGAGCTTCCAGTTGTAGCAAGGTTCCGATGAGACATTGATAGTACATTGTATAGGGATAAACGTCAATGCTTTCTCAATATTCTTAATTTCAAACCTGTTGTTTGGTTGATTTGTGCTCATATGCTTTTTGAGATCAGAATAATCCCAATTAATACAACAGATAAAAAAGCCAGAGGATTTGAGAATACATTAAATTTAAAAACGACATTCACTCAGGTACAATTGCATTCTAACCCCAACATTAGTAACAGGTTAACACTACATCTATATTTAACATAAAAAATCCCATTCACTCAGTCGAAAAGTTAGTTACCACTTATATACCACAAATGTTGAGTAGAATGTGTGCTTTTGAGTGTATCAGTAGCTAGGTTTCCATCCAATTGGCGACAGATTTTCATGCGAATATTCTAAAATATGCATAAATAAAATATGCACATTTTCCCACCAGAGATGTGTTTCCATCAAATTGAGTTATTGCAGATAAAAGTATGCAGTTAAATGGGTTTCCATCGCATTTTCATCTCTACTGATGGTTTTGTAACAAAACAAAAATCCTTATATATTGAATGTGCCCACTCTGGTATTGGCAAGTGCGATCTAGCCAACAGCTCACATATACAATGTGGGTATAGCCTACATGATGAGATTATTATGGACAAAAGGGCAAGATTATTTTTATTTGTTAAACAGTAGCCAAGCATCGATCATCATGTCACCAGAATAAGACGCTTGATATTTATTAAAAAAGGAGCATCAAGCTCATCACCGTGCAATTTCACCCCCCCGTGAAGTTCATCATAACTTATTTCATCTGTAGTCTAATAAATGGCATGCTTTTCCAAGTCGTGGTGTGAGGACCACACATGTCATCGCGTGGCTCCAACTTAACTTCAATATGATGGTTATCATATCTACATTTGCGCATAAAAGCGTTTCCACTGCCATTTATTGCATTATTAATTTGACCAACACAAAAAGTTCCCACCTTGTCTAGCGTATTTTGTTTTGTCGACATTTGGAAAGTTTACTTGCAAATTTGCTGTTTCCATCAGGCCTTTCATTTAAAAAAAATATCCGACGTGAACTTTACGTGCATAAAAAGGTTGGATGGAAACCTAGTTATGTTAACACAAAGTCGAGAACATAGCTTAGAAATTGTGTTATTTTTTGTAGATATATAAACTCATATGCATTTAATTTAAAAAAGAACACCATGAGGGTGGAGAGCAGAGAGTACCACAGAATATTTTGAAAAATATTGTTGTCACTATCTGGGCAAGCGGCAAAGCCGTAAACCCCTCCAATTTCTACAATTTATCTTCTTCAAGTCTGATTTTAAACCTAACCCTAACCTTAGCCATGCTGCTAACCGTATGCCTAACCCTAACCTTGAATTAAGATAAAAAAGATACATTTTGTTTTCATACATTTTTACGATATAGCCAATTTTTACTTTGCTGCTGGCCTATCTAGTGGGAATAGAAAAATATGACATGTTCATCATAGATTGTATGGTGTCCCAAAGGTTTAGACAGTGCTGTTCTGCTCTACATGAAGGTGACGACACAGAGTATACAGATAATTCACCAATATGGTGCTTGTCAACAGCACAGTTTATATAGCCTGTATAAAACCTACAGTTCTCTTTTCTAGTGTCAGGAAACCAATGCCTTGAAACACCTTTCTGGAAACCACTGGAAGTCACTCCTTGGCTACACTCAGCCCACTCTGTAATGGTCTCCTCTTTTGCCTCTATTGATGAGATGGTGTTCATCAACATCATTATCAACATAATCATGTTGTTTGTCTGAATGGAGCCTCCATGGGTCCACCTCTGTATTCTAGAACTACCTCAGCATTCTAAGACAGAGGCTGACTCCACAGCATCACATGACAGGCGGCTATAGTTTTTGCCTATTAGCTGAGTCAGTTAATGCTTGATCAAAGTCAAATCAAAGCCTCTCAAGTTCTCTGAGCCTGACTTGTACAGTAGCTTCTTGTTTTATACGTTGAAGTCTTAAAAAAAGAAAAATTGGGGGTGAGGTGCAGAAAGTGATGCCAGAGGCCCTATCTATTTGCAGGTGTGAACATCGTAGACTCGAACACACTCCTGGCAGCTGACGTAGCAGCACCAGTGGAAGATACAGTGGCACTTCTCCTTTCGTTTCTCCGTCTGGGTGTTGTGTCCCCGGCCACAGCATAGCAAGTCGCAGCCGTCAATGCCGTGCGACGTCAAGTTACAGGAGCGATCGCGTGTCCCGAACGAGCCTGTTTCTGGGTTGGGCTCGCAGAAGTTGGGTGAGCTCTCGTAGTAAACCAGGTCTCGCTCCGTGGGCGGTTTGAAGAAGTTGTACTTGCTTCTCAACGTCTCCACCCAGCCACGGGACTCCTTGTGCTTCTCCACCACCATCTCTGAAGCGCTGTCATACTTGTCCTTCATGTAGTCTCCGATCACTCTGAAGTCAGGCTGGGACCACCAGCACGTCTTCACCTCACAGCTGCCGGACAGGCCGTGGCACTTACACTTCAGGAACATGTTGTCATTCAGAGACTGAGGGAGAGATAGACGCAGGGATGCAATTAGTTTAATGAATGTCAAGTCAAGTCTTACTAACACTTGGGGATCTTTATGAATGGTTTATCCATAAGGATGATATTATCAGTGATGCAGAGAGAGAGAGAAAATGTCTCACTGTTCGTCCCGCCTCGTTGTTGTGGCGGTTCATGGCGGAGCGCGCATCGGGCCGGTTCTCACGGGCGTCTGCAAACTCCCGGGACACCATGCTGCCGAACTCCACGTCCTCGCTGCAGCCACCCCACTTCCAGCCCTCACCGGGCGGGCCCTTGTGGCGCGTGTCACAACCACAGATGGTGGCCGAACCCTCCGCACAGGACCGGGTCACTGCGAACGCCACACCAGCTGATGCGATGGCATGAACAAATGCTGACTCACGCGTGGCTGTAAAGAGAGGGAGAGGTAGATGTCAGATTTGTATATGTATCGTATGGGGATGGGTGCATTCTTACAGACGTCAACAACCACATACGTTTTTACGCAACACATTGCTTGTAAGCAGCTCAGTTCTTATGTGAAGGATCTCTGTTTGTGAATGAGGATAGTTCATACAGATGTAGGAACTTAATTTGATCACTCTTTTGTTGCTGCGAATTTTCCCGCAGAGCAGGAAATGCAAACTTGTAATGTATTTGAGGTTTTAAAAGTATTCTAAAGTTTGTAATTTCCACTTTGAAATTTCAGACTTGATTTGCCCTAACGAGAAATGTATCAACCTCTACAAACATGTCCATTAATTATAATCTACATAATAATCCACATTTCCTGTTGCTGAAGGATTATTTTCCTGCTGTAGCAAACCGGCTCAAATTAAAGATCCTACATCTATATGGTTTACATACAGGTCCATACATCTGAAACCATGGCAGTGCAGATAATGATAAATTGTTAATAATAACTTTGCTGGAATGTACCCATTAATGTATCTCAAAAAGCACGTAGCAATTCAGGTCAGTGTCTACAGAACGATGATGTTGGCACCTGCTACTTTTCTGTGCTGTCCTGTATAATAATATATAAAACTGTAAATGTCACACATCAACCCTACCAAAGCAGACATTCCATTTACGTGATCATTCGGCCAGGATTTGATTGTGAAACAATGCTCCACACATATCAAGCTCCGATCCACACACGTTCTATAGACAGTGTCACAGACATCTGTAATGGATGACTATGTTGACTGGCATGCCAATACAGTTCCATCCAATACAATCGGATCTGCTTGAGCAATCAAGGACAGTCATCTATCTTGGGTGTGTGTGCGTGTAGGAGAGGGAGGGAGAGAGCAAGGGATAGAGGGAGAGAGGTCTCTGTCTGTCTGACATAGTTTACTGATGACTCATCATCAGGAACTTCCAGGGAGATGAGAGGAAGAGACAGGTGTGACAGGACTATAATTAACAGACTCAATTAAGCTTTTGAAAGGTTAGGAAAATGGCCTCACACTATAAGACTAAGCTGAGACACAACAGTGAGAGAGAGAGAGAGAGAGAAGAGAGAGGGAAGGTTCAGGGATGTGTCGTACATGTCAAGGAAACTATAAGCATTTAATATGAGGTGCAATATTTCACAGAGGTCTCGTTGACGTTCCACAGTCCCTGCTTTTTACAGGATCCTTTATCCCTGGATATATGTGCTTAGGTCTTGTATGGTCTTGCACAATGACAAGAACAGAGAGACAGATAGGGAGAGAGGGTAGAAGAAGGGGAAGAGAGCGAGAGAAACAGGGAGAAGGAGAGCAAAAGGATGACGGAAGGGAAAAAGAGAGAAAGAGTGAGAGAGTTGGACAAGAAGAGGAAAAAAGAGGGAGAAAGAGGGAGGGAGTTGGAGAGGGAGAGAAAGAGAAAGAGTGAACAAATTGGGAGGGGTAGAGCGAGAGAGAGATAAGTAAATGACTAGGGGGAGTAGGTACTGTGTGAGCTCCTCCCAGGCTGCAGGTTTCAACCAGTTTGAGGAATAAGGGACATTAAGAACAATGATGCAACAGAGGTTTACTGGCATCCATTCTCCATCACACCCTCCCTTAGCAGGACTTTACCAAGAACTATTATGGTTCACTCTGGGATGTTGCATCTCAGCATTGAAACTAAAGGCTTCGGTTCGGCTGGCGCCTAGCCGAACTCAGCTAGGCGAACCGAATGAGTGTGCTCGCATACTCCCTTAAAAGACCTTCGCTTGAAAAACAAGATTTTATTTTTTTCAATTGAAAAAAGCGGCAATAGTACTTTGTCCATTTTGAGACGCCGTAGCCAGTATACACTTCCTCAAAATAGTCAGAATTAATCTTAGATAAGTCAAGAAATCTGTGATTAATTTTGACGTTTTTGCCCAGGAGATCTTAGTCGCTCAATTTTACATTTAACTAAGATGTTAGGTGCAGTATTTCCCAAGTGAACAAATGTGCATGAAAATGAGTGGTCTATCATTGAATGACAATAAACACTTCATTGAAGAATCCCTACTGTTGTCCAATGACTGATGAAGGTGAGTAGACTTTGGCTACCGAACTTCGGCTTGCCTCAAGTATTTTTTGGTATAAACGAACAGCAGAAGACAAAAAACTTGCCGAATACCAAAACAAACAAAAACGTCACCAAAATGTCATCATAATATATGCACAAACTGTTCAGAACTGTTTCGGATGGGAAGGTCTAGTATAGTATAACAGTCTAGTATAGATTAGTTGAACATCTATAGTCCAGTTGACATGTTACTGAGAGTTTATTGAGTATCTATAGATGGATTATCCAAAGAAGTGTTACCCAGCCTTATCCCCAGTATCTCTCATATCCTTTGCTGCTCCTTGCTCATAATGTTTTGAAATTGTGTGACATACACTACCGTTCAAAGGTTTGGGGTCACTTAGAAATGTCCCTTGTTTTCCATGAAAACATACATGAAATGAGTTTGAATAGGAAATATAGTAAAAATGCATAGGAAATGTAGTCATTGACAAGGTTAGAAATAATGATTTTTAATTGAAATAATAATTGTGCCTTCAAACTTTGCTTTCGTCAAAGAATCCTCCATTTGCAGCAATTACAGCCTTGCAGACTTTTGGCATTCTAGTTGTCAATTTGTTGAGGTAATCTGAAGAGATTTCACCCCATGCTTCCTGAAGCACCTCCCACAAGTTGGATTGACTTGATGGGCACTTCTTACGTACCATATGGTCAAGCTGCTCCCACAACAGCTCAATAGGGTTGAGATCCGGTGACTGTGCTGGCCACTCCATTATAGACAGAATACCAGCAGACTGCTTCTTCCCTAAATAGTTCTTACATAGTTTGGAGCTGTGCTTTGGGTCATTGTCCTGTTAATCTTTTCTTTTCATTGGCCAGTCTGAGATATGGCTTTTTCTTTGCAACTCTGCCTAGAAGGTCAGCATCCCGGAGTCGCCTCTTCACTGTTGACGTTGAGACTGGTGTTTTGTGGGTACTATTTAATGAAGCTGCCAGTTGAGGACCTGTGAGGCGTCTGTTTCTCAAACTAGACACTCTAATGTATTTGTCCTCTTGCTCAGTTGTGCACTGGGGTCTCCCACTCCTCTTTCTATTCTGGTTAGAGCCAGTTTGCACTGTTCTGTGAAGGGAGTAGTACACAGCGTTGTACGAGATCTTCAGTTTCTTGGCAATATCTCGCATGGAATAGCCTTCCTTTCTCAGAACAAGAATAGACTGATGAGTTTCAGAAGAAAGTTATTTGTTTCTGGCCATTTTCAGCCTGTAATCGAACCCACAATTGCTGATGCTCCAGATACTCAACTAGTCTCAAGAAGGCCAGTTGTATTGCTTATTTAATCAGCACAACAGTTTTCAGCTGTGCTAACATAATTGCAAAAGGGTTTTCTAATGATCAATTAGCCTTTTAAAATGATAAACTTGGATTAGCAAACACAACGTGCCATTAGAACACAGGACTGATGGTTGCTGATAATGGGCCTCTGTACGCTTATGTAGATATTCCATTAAAAATCAGCCGTTTCCAGCTACAATAGCCATTTATAACATTAACAATGTCTACACTGTATTTTCGATCAATTTGATGTTATTTTAATGGACAAAAAAATTGCTTTTCTTTCGAAAACAAGGACATTTCTAAGTGACCCCAAACTTTTGAACGGTACTGTATATACAGCAGATATGGAAAGCATAATAAAAACAGAACAAAGGGCAAATCTATTTGGTTGAACCCCATCAGAAAATGTCTTCCTTTGAAACATACAGATAGAACTTTACAAATGACAGCACATTTAATGTTGACTGTCTCCTTATTCCATGACCCTGAAGCAGTCTCTATGTGGTGGTTGGTAGTTGGAGGTATGAATGGTCTAAAGCTTGGGAGGGTGTCTTTTCTATTTCAATTTAAAACCACTGAGTCGCCCACTTTTATTATCAGGAAGCCAATAAACCATGGGTCAAACCCTTACGGCTTACTGACAATGATGCCACAGAGCAAAGAAAGGGGGAGAGAGGAGGGAGAAATGGAGGGATGAGACCAAAAGAAAGGAAAATAAGATTATCTGGGGACAAGATGAGAAAGAGAAGGCGAGACAGAGAAAAAATAACTAGGTCCTGACATCTAGGGGTGGGTGGTGGGTGGTGGGTGGGACAGACCAGGGCTTACCTGGAACAGAATGTGTCCGGGGGTGCCTAGTCTAAGTGGACTGATTACTTGTGACCCCCCCCTACCATACTTTGCCGGACCCTGGCATGGCAAGTGGTCCCAACGACCTGCTGGGGGGCTGAATCCCCTATTGTGCTGCCACTGTCACGCCGCGTTAGCCCCACAATGGCCCCAGATATTTTATATGAAATCTGCCCTAGCCAGTGATTAGTGGAGACCAAGTTAAGTCATAGCAACAGAGAACTATGCGTTGGCCAGACCCCGCATGTCGGCAGACTGGGAAATCCCTATTCAAATGGTTTAATAAAACAATCTAAAGGGCGTGTGAATGGGGAAAAGCGCTTTCTCTCCCGGCTTAATCTCATGGTTGCAGAGATATTGTGCTCCGAGCAGCACCCAGCGGGGTGTGGGGCTAAGGTCCCCCCATCAACTCCATTTACCACACCCATTCTTTCTTTCTTAGCCAGAGTTAATGATATTATGGTGCACTAACCTCACCTCCCCCAGCATGGAGAAACATGCACTTTATGAAAAGCAGGGCCCTCTTAGCACATCCTAAACTGTAACACTTTCTCATCCTGAGGTCAGGGGTCGTAACCTGAATTCCCTGACTGACCTTTTCCCTGCTTGGTTTAGTTGAGGCATTAAGCACCAAGGAGAAGAATATAAAGTGCATAATTTGAATGCATTGAAATTTGAACACCTAGAATATAGAAGCAGATGCACTGCCTTTATTTTCCATCTAAGACATTTATCCCAGTTATTGTTTATATATCAGTCCATAAATCAAGTAAAAACATCCTGATTTTCCAAGCCTTGTGGCTATGGTTGTCAGTTGCACATTATTCTCATGGGTATTGCAGTACTATAAAGTCCAACTGTGAAGCTGTGATAGCACATTAACGACTACCTGAACTATAATTCACAATCGGGACAATACCACATATTATTGCTCATTGTAAGTCCATATCATATTAACTTACAGGTATTACATAATGGAGACCTATCGTATCAGAAAGACACTTAATTTCCTTTTTATCAATTTAATCCACTGGGGTGACTAACAGTGCATGTTTATACCTGTGAGACTGAGCTTTTGTGTCTGTGTTCGTGTGACTGTCTGTCCACTCTAGTTGACCTTCCCTGTTCTAAGCAACTCTATCACTCACACTAGGCTAGGGTTTGGCTGCAGCCCTGCTGCAATGTCCTATACTCCTCCTACTTCAAGTGTGCCAAACAAGCTCCCCAACGCACGTCCCTTTCCTGTCCGACACACACAAACTGAGAACACCTGCACAGTTTGCCTCCCCTTTCATTACAGACAGATTCAAGCGGCACATGTTTTGACACTTTGGTTAATGTAAATTACTGGAGAGAGAGAGAAGAGAGAGAGAGGAGAAGAGTAAGAGAGGAGAGAGAGAGATAGAGAGAGAGATAGATCCTCTCTCCCTATAGGCTCTCTCTCTCCTCTCTCTCTCTCTCTATCTCTCTCTCTCATCTCTCTCGCTCTCTCTCTCTTCTTTCTACTCTCCTCTCTCTGCTCTCTCTTGCTCTCTCTCTTCTCTTCTCTCGCTCTCGCTTCTCGTCCTTCGCGTCCCCTTCCTTCTCCCCTCTCCTCCTCTCTTCTCTTCTCTCTCTTCCTTCTCTCATCTCTCTCTGCCATGCTTATCGGATAGGGATGGTTCCACATGCATTCATGTAAACAAATGATGGAAAAGACCAAGGAAAACCGAATACTATGTAGAAAGCGTGCATAACACCACATCTGCATGATACAGTTTGTTTGATGTGTACTGAATAAAAGGAGAGATAGTGTGAGTGAGAGGGTGTGATCAGTACAACGGGTTGTTGCCAGAACTAGCAACAAAATGTTTCAAAATCCAAACATGTTTTCCACTCAGTGTTTCAAGGCATTCTATAACCCGTGTGTCTATTCAAATAACTTTCTTCTCTGTCATACACTGAGTGTACAAACCATGCTCTTTCCATGACCAGGTGAATCCAGGTGAAAAGCTATGATCCCTTATTGATGTCAAATGAGAAACGATCCACTTCAATCAGTGTAGATAAAGGGGAGGAGACAGGTTAAAGAAGGATTATTAAGCCTTGAGACAATGAAGACATGGATTGTCTGGATTGAGGGTGAATGGGCAAGACAAAAGATTTAAGTGCCTTTGAATGGGGTATGGTCAACTAGCCGGTGCCCCCGCACATTGACTCTGCACCGGTACCCCCCTGTATATAGCCTCCCTACTGTTATTTTATTTTACTTCTGCTCTTTTTTTCTCAATACTTTTTTGTTGTTGTTGTGTTATTTTACTTTTTTATAAAAAAATAAATGCATTGTTGGTTAAGGGATGTAAGTAAGCATTTCACGCTAATGTCTACACCTGTTGTATTCGGCGCATGTGGCAAATAAAATCTGATTTGATTTGATTTGGTAGTAGCTGCCAGGCGCACCGATTTGAGTGTGTCAAGAACTGCAATGCTGCTGAGTTTTTAACGCTGAACAGTTCCCTGTGTATATCAAGAATGGTCTACCACCCAAAGGACATCCTGCCAATTTGAAGCATTGGAATCAACACGGGCCAGCATCCCTGTGGAACGCTTTTGACACCTTGTAGAGTCCATGCCCCGACGAATTGAGGCTGTTCTGAGGGCAGAAGGAGCTGCAACTCAATATTAGGAAGATGTTCCTAATGTTTTGTACACTCAGTGCATAAATCCATTATAAATCACACATATATACCTTCATTCATTCTTTTCCTACCTAAGTGATGGCATATACAGTAGGTTATGTATCTGAAGGCGCAAACTTGAGTCCTGCTCTTTCCTCATCTTTGCCTGGAAGCTGTTCAGGGGGATGCCTGCCAATAAACTGGTTAAGACAAGGGATTGGTATTAATAGGCTAACTAACAGATAGGTGCAAAGCTTTTGAGGCCTACGGTTCCTTTCAGCCTTTCTCCCAATAAAAAGGCCTGAGGAGGAAACAAACACACATCCGTCTGCTCAGCAGACAAACAGAACAGACACTGGCCTTGCCGGGGGACAATGGACCCGATGCACAGACAAATACAAGCATCAATCAAAGCAAATGAAATGAGAAACTTCTCCCTTACTAAGCCCTATCAAAAGGCCCTGAGCCCCCGCCAGTCACTCTCCCTGGGCTCTGACAAAGACACTTAATCCAACCACTTTGACCTCTCACATTATTAAGGGCTTCACTGACCTTAATCCAATCAAAATGATTTACTAAAGCCCCCCCAGCCCAGACCCCAAGAGTAGCCTGGCCTGGCTGCCTCTCTCCCCACCTCCCCTTTCCACCCAGTGCCCCTGCAATTTAGACAAGGAGGGAGAGAAGCCATGGGGGAGATGTGGAGGTATTTACACCACAATGAGGCCAGGGACTGTGAACCCCTATCATTACCCACCTACTTGAGCTCAAGCCTTCTCCATCAATGTAACAACTGGCTCAAGAGTTTATTAAAAGCAATTGCCCCAACTAACCCCACATCCCACTATAGTAAACATCAGTCTTTTCCAAACCCAGTTGACAGGTTTAGACCCCCCCCCCCCCACCCTCCATGCTCCTCTCTGCTCATCCCTCTACCCTTGACTACTGGCAACTAATCCCAGGGTCACAGTGCAATAGTGTGGAGACAGAGAAACCACTAGCTTCATGATATCACAGCTGAATAATACAAGGATTAAAAATGTTTGAGTACAATATGGGAGATGATGGGACAGAAATAAGAAAACATAATATTCTGCTGGAATTTAATGTATAATGTCTGACTTTATCCCTATTTTACACACATCACATAGAGGGGGGGGGGGGGTGAAGGGGATTCCCTTACAGAGAAAATTCCAACAAAAGACAACATTCTCCACCCAAAGTAGTGTGTATACACATCATTTCTTCTGTTCAAACAGCTCATAGCTGAGTGACTCTCACAAGTCTATTTGAACAAGGATTTTAATTGCATATGATACTCTCTCTCTCACACACACACTCACACACACACACACACACACACACACACACACACACACACACACACACACACACACACACACACACACACACACACACACAAACTGACTGAGGCAGGATGGAGTTAAAACAGTTGCTTGCTTGATCTATCAACTAACAACATAATGGTCTTATTCTACCCTGTCAATATCAACACCAGTTGCAGCCCTGAGTAAAGTGAGTGGTAGAGTTTTAGTCGATACAGGGTTAGGTATCGTTTCTCATTTGAAATGCCAAGCATTACCAACATTAATAGGTGATGATTTTAGTACACTAGTATTCTTCCATGAACTTGAGAACAGGTATGGGGAAAACACTCACTTCATGTATTCAATCATGCAGGAAAATAATTTGGTTGTCACTTGTACTGTACAGCACAAAGAAAGTGTTTTCTAATATAGCAAACTGGTTTTATACTTGGTTCTCACAGTTACAAAGTGTTATTAAATGTATAATGTAGGCTGTCACCCCATAGCCATCCTATTCTGTGGATGAGTAGCCCAGTAGGAGAAATGCCAAGGCTGCACTGTTTTATTATAGTGCCTTTTTCTCTCAAGATATGTTGTTACCTTTGTCAAGCACTGGTCCAAAGATGGCTAGCTTGCAGTGTTTTATGAGTGTATCCTGTCTTCTCTTTTAATTATATTACCATACGTTACCTTTGTCCAGCACTGGTCCGAAGATGGCCTTGTCGTTGATGGTGGTGCAGTTCCAGCGACGGCCCCTGAATTGATGCTGGCACTCCTGGATGCCGATCTTCACCCCTTCTGCCACACTGGGCATAATCTCCACATAATTCCGGCAGAATCGCAGCTGCTTGGGCACCAGGCCAGGAATGGAGCCGCACAGGATGGGCTGGGAGCCCAGGGACGAATACTGGTGGCCCACCGCTAGAGACCTGCATGGGGGAGAGAGGAGGCTGGTTGGTGACATAATATACTGAGTGTTTGTGTGTGTCTCTCTTTCTTTGTGTGTGTATGTTGTGCTTATGTGTGTATGTGCAGTGTGTGTGTGTGTGTGTGTGTATCAGATGTTACTATTAAGCATATATGCCTTATCCCGCTATCTATCCCCTCTGTAGCCACCTGGCCTTTGTGTGGATTTAAAACGGAGTCCCAGAGCTATACTCCACAAAGGTAACAGCGCCACGGGGAAAGATGGAAGTCCCCCCGTGAACACAAAGTGGTTCATAGACCTCTAGGTTGACAACTTGGAAACTGCACCTTGTTATTACAGAGAACCACAACCTTTTTTAAGTGTCCACACGCTAAACAGGCCCTTGACTTAGGGTAATGAGAGTGCAACTGTATATTGAGACTTCAGACGGATGTATTAATTATATATCTATCCATCCATCCCCATCCCCCTTTCTCTTTGAGGACGGATATTCTGGGATGTAACAAGTGCAAACTTGATTGTTCTCTGATTATATATTTTTGTATGTGTGTGTGTGTGTGTGTGTGTGTGTCTTTCAATTAAAGTGTTAACATCGCTCGTAACCATGGAAACGTGACAACTATCCCGGTGCTGTGTCATCTCATGTTATGTCATTGTGGTACTTTTGAAGAAGACTTTTGAAGCAGCATGCTGTAATTGTAATTGTTTGATCTAAAGAACGCACCAGTCAATTTGGCTCCAATCAGTTTGTATTTCCACTGTTTTGTCCAGTGGCCTCCTACCGTCAGTGGGAGGGTCGAAAGTGGGATGATGACAACCATCCAATCAGTTGGGTGGTGAACATAATAGGAAGCATGTACATGAGCATGAAATGAAATGAAATTATAGCCACTATATTCTAACAACAGCTGATACACTTTATTGTCCCCAAGGGGGGAACTGTTTTGGACACATTGATTGCAAATATATTTCAGTTCGATTATCCATACCACAATATGGCTGCCTGATTGATATCCTACTGTACTTTACACATGTATTACAATATATTAATAAGATTCACTCAGACTACATGCACTTCCACATAAAGCTTGTAACATACAGTATTTTCCTTCACTCCTCACTCACTGTTCCTTTGCTCTGCTCCTCATATTCCATCACTTTGTTTTGATCTAGCCACCATGCATTTATTTCCATTCACCCTCTCCCAGAGTACTACAGTTAGAGTTAATTCCATTTAAATTACTATTCATTGTTGTCAGCTCAGGTAAATACAGCTCATAGAGACGATGGGATTGGATAAACCTCATTTTATGAATGGGATTGTTATATTAATCAATTCACCATGAATAAAAACGTATTATATTTAGACCGTAACATAACATTTGATCTAATAGCTGACTTCCTATTGTCATTGGCAAGGCAAGTACTGCATAGTAGCAACACGTTCCTTGTTGGCACTCCAATCAACAGCTCCTTCTGCTGTAAACTCAGTCCTCACTGAAGCTGCTATTGATGACAGTAATCTGGCGATCCACGTCTGAGTGATTTGGCCATTATGACAGAGACTGCAGTGTTTGTTTACACAGTGATCTGCTCCAACCTCCAACAGCAGAACAAGGGAATTTTACACTCATCCAAAATAACGAGCTGGACAAAAAGAAGATCAAGTACATAGAAAGAAGGGATATCCGCTCACTGTTTTGACACTCCCAAACGTGGCTCCATCAGTAGGCCTGAAGCCAGAGCAGGTGGGAGCAGGCAGGTCTTGTGCAGCTTAATTATCTCACTATCTTTTGACCTGGGCAAAGATGTTTAAGAAGTGATCACTCTGTGATAACAACAACAAGATTATCACACAGAGCCAGAGTCTCACCTGAGGCATTTCTAAATTCCACCCCCCCAAAAAAATGTTTTAACCGTATCACTCTACACTGAGAGGTCCTGGGCCTCGTTTCCCAGAGCCTTCGTAGCATTAAGATCATCATTAGAACCATCTTACAATGTATATTTAGTAGCCAATCTGTTTCCCAGAGGCTTCGTTAGTAACGTTGCTCTTAAAAACCTATGCACATCTACGAGTGGTATGGATCACTAAAGTGCATCGTTAGATGATTTTTGCCCTTCCACGTCACTTTATTCACAGAAAATCTCAGTTAAACATATAATCAAGATGTTTAGGCTAGGCATCTGTCTAACTGTGACCGCAGATAACTTCAGAACGAAGTTGACTACAAATACACATTTGCCAAAGTATTTGCAATTGTTACGAACAAGTGACAGATAAAACAATGCTTCAAATGAAAACTGAGATAACTGCATTAAAAGATAAATAGGCTACATGGGCCTATATATTTCAATCATATTAAAATCATATTGAGAGTTATTTTGCCACTAGGCTACTGTCTGTCATTTTTGCCTCAATATGTTTCATGATGTGTGACAAGATTTGTGCAATGATTGCGGCTTATCATGGGTAAGCATGATAAGCCGCCTCAATATTTGCAGCCATATGTGGTAATATCTCTCTAAGAGCTGATCCATCGTCAATATTGTGGAATAATTATAATATTAAGGTAAGATTTGAGTGGAGAAGGCTGATCCGAGAGCAGCGTTGCTTTTCTTTCGATCCTATCAGTATCGACAAATGGTCTAACGACGCACTTAGCGAACATTCTCTCTACGTGCTTATTTGGGAACACTTAAAAAGTTGGCTCGGAAATAACGGTGCAACAGGTACGATCATCGTAATGCTTAAGTTACATCGTAACTGGAAATCGAGACCCAGGTTGTCCCTGAGAGGCATGCTGACCTTGTGTACCAGACGTTTGCGTCGCAAATCAAGTCAACATTTAAAATACATTGTTTGCTCTAACAAATTAAGCTTAACTGAATACACCTAGTCTCATGTGTCTGCTTTCAACCTCTTGTCTGTAGCCTACGTATGTCAATGGGTTACCTAGTAAGTGTAGCCATTTAGTACTTTCCAAAGTATATCCCCGAGCAAATGGCGGAGCAATGTGTCATGCTCACTTTAAAGGCTTTCCCATATTATTTTCTTTGGCTCAGAGACATGACTAGACCTCTGGTTAATCATATATGAGAAATACAAAAAGAAAGACAGGGGGAAACAGGTTCTAAAAGTGTCTGAAAGGATATCAAGTCCTCACGGCCTGCATTTTGTCTGCAATAAATATGAATGAAAGCAAGCATATCAGTAAACAAGGAAACTTCTATTCCAAATTGACCTCTCTTTGGCCCTTGTCAATCTGCACCCTAAGGCACTAAGCTGAGCACAGCAGACCTCTCACAACAGAAACCTGAGTCCACATCACAACCCACCGCAGACACTTGCTTCTAATAGCCATAACATGTAGAGCAGGAATGTGATGACTTCTGAACCATGCCAAGTGAAACCAGCAACACAAGTACAGCCCCCTCCGCAAGTGTGAGCAGATAAGATCTTGTCTGGGAAAGACTGAGGGAGGAAGAAGGAAAAACAAGTGGCACAGCTTTTAATTTGACCTGTAGACGTTCTGTTCTGCCAGGAAGAACTTGTGAATGTCTCTGTGGGTGTTGAGTGAGGTCAGCAGGTGTAAGAAAACAAACAGCGGCATGGTTCCAAACTATCCCACTAGCTACATAGATACTGTACTACTGTATATGTTTTCATCTCACCATTGTGCTGCGCTTATTTTTGTATTACATTATGCAGTTCCCCATGCCTGTTGATATGGTTATACTATTTTAGGTGTTACCTGTTGATTCAAGTTTATGCAAAACTCATGTTTGACCATGTATGAGCTGGTTAAACCTAGTATTGTATGACCACTGTGTGAGTGTATACTGTAGATGATCAGATCAGAACAGGCCAGACAGACAGAACCTGCCTGGACAATACACACAGTCATAAGTCTCAGGACGTACAGGCGCGGAGCTAGTCTCAGCACAGAGGGAGTGGGGTGCTCTCGAGGTGCCCTTCTGACCAAATCGTTTAAAAAAGGAATAGCTGATATGTCCTATCATAAACGCAAATTAGGCATGATCACTAGGGATGTCAACAGTTAACCATTAGTTGGTTAACTGCTGAAAAGAAATTTGACCGGTCAAGCTTATGGGTCTATAGGTTAATTTTCATAATTTAGTGGAATTAAATGTGTGTCTTTTTGTTAGTTCATCATGTGTCTTATTTATCACATGCACATCGCATACAGAGCCTATTGTAAAAACCCTGTATCGTAGCGAGTGTTCACACTGCACAGCTCCTCAAACATGTGTTCTTATAAACCCAGTCTTTGCACAACATTTCTACATGCAATCGTGCGTGAAAACTGAGTTTGGATTTCTACTATTAAAAATAGGAGGATCCGATCTTTCTATTGCTTCTAGGCCTATTTTACATACATGGATAACCAACTGGGATAATTTTGACCCCAAAAAGAAACTATTGGAAAAAGCAACAATCATAGCAAAATATAAACTTTATTTTTATCAAAACATCATTAGACATGTAAATAATGTTATCTGAAATAAAATATAACCAAAACAGTTTATTTGCATATTCTGTTAAATGAAAATATATATTTTTCCCTTAAATAATGTGCATCTAATGTGCAATCCACACTAGCACTAAAAAGAAAAGGGCCATTTAAAAGGGCAGTACACCAACATTTGAAATAACCATAATTTTATTGACAACACATTATTCATCCATTGATCCTGAAAGATAATGACCAAAAATATGACTTCGTTTTCTTTATTTACTTACCCCACATTGAGCATTAGCATTGCTGCTAGTGAAACAATGGGAGTGGTAGGGCCTATGGCAGGAAGTTTAATCCTCAGTCACTTCAAACCAAATGTTATAGCAACCCAAATACCATAACAAGATGCACATATAGAATATTGGAGGATAGGAATTCTGGTATTTATACATTTTCCATAGAATAAAAAAAATTTCA